ATCGCCGGGGGGGCTGCTCGAACAGCAGCCGGAGACTTGCCACACAAAGACTCTCTCTCGTCCTGGGTTTCTCTCTCTTGGCGCGTTGTCCAGTTTCTCTCGCGCCGTGACATGATTAGCGTACGGTCACTCTCCAACTGTCTCAATTGTCCCCGCTCTCCTAATTCTCGCGGCGCGAGCCGCGCTTTCCGCGTTCTCGCTTATTCCTCTTCCTCTCTCGCTCTCTCTCACGCTCCTTCTTGCGCCGTCTTCTCCGCCGGCCGCGCTCTCCCCTCTCCAGGCCCTGCAACGACACGAGCGCGTGAATGCTATGTCAACCATAGCCACGCTCGGCCGCTACATCCGTGCGAGGAGAGTGCCGCCCACAGGGCTAGCGAACATCGCTATCAGCCCTGTCACACATTGACTGCATTGGCTTAACATTCAGCACCGCATGAAAATACCCAACGGGCTTAGCATAAGTAAAGACTATGAGCTTTGTTAGCGCCGAAATTGACACTAACGAGTCTTATATTCATTTACCATACTCATACAAAATCACTATACGCATTGGCAATCTTAGCAGATCCTTGTAGGGAGTTTTCAACTTACTACGCAATAGTAATGACAAGATAATTTCATCATTGGTTAAGACATCTCACCTGGAAATGCATGCGAATGCAAAGTATTTAAATTAGATTAGGGTTGGGGCGTGCGTGCAATACAAATAACAATCAAAACTGTGACAGGGTTATAGCGATGTTCGCTGGCCCTGTGTGCGGCACTCTCCTCGCGTGAACGCAGCGACCAAGTGTACGCTATATAGCGATTACATACTTGTGTCGTTGCAGGATCTGGAGAGAGGAGCGCGACGATCGGCGAGGTGTCGCCGTGAGTGCGAGTGATAGCGAGAAGAGCGAGAGAGAGAGAGAGAGAGAGAGCGATTTTGACTAATTTTTGACGGCGAGAGAAGTGGGAGCGCGGCGGCGTGAGGCTTAGAAATTAAGAGAGAGGAAGGGCAGTTAGGCGCGAACTCTCAAGTAATTAGGGCCGCCTAGAAAGAGACTGGACGAAGCGAGATTTGGCCGGAAGGAAGCAACTGCCATCGGTGCGACTGCCACACTTGCCAGGAAGCCAGTAGTTCGAAGGAGAGCCAGTACACGCAGCCACCATTCGCCGTCTATGAGGCAAAGACCGTGCTGCGGCCCTTCCTGCAGCAGCTTCCATCGTCGCCAGGGCGCCGTTTCCTGCGGGATTACGCTTTCGCCGGCGTCGCCTCTCTGTCGACGGACCGTCGGCATCCGGTGGGTCCAAAGCCAGTTTATCTCTCTCGCGCCAGCTCTCGCTCGATTACGGACATTAGCGTATTTTGATTTTATCGCGCACGCTGAGCGATCTCGCTCGCGTGATCCCGCGAACTCTGGTCGCGGAAAGGTTGAGCGAGCGCGCTCGCCGCGGCGAAGTTAATCTTGTAGCGATATTTGTGAAAAGGCGTCAATAAATGAGATCGCCATATGTAGTATAATTGAATTAAAGTGTCCTATTCTTTGTATCAACCTCCCCCAACCAGAGCGAACTTCAGCCTGTGAAAGTCAGCGCCGGCTTTCTTTATCGAGAAAGAACCCAGAAAAATTAGCAGAGACCAGCCCAAGGCGCACGGAGGCTGACCACTCTTGCAAAACACGTAGTTTAAGTTAAAATTTTATTTTGATTAAAACAAAGATAAAAATATGTATTTATCCGGTACGAAAAACTCCGTTATAAATGGGGAAAAAGTCATCTAAATACTATCTTTAAAAAGAGAACGCTCATGCAATATAGCTTTTAAAACTAAACAAACTAAGTTAAATTTACCGCAATATAAGTGTTAAAATAATGGAGAGAACTCAGCGCATTGAGGAACGCAACAAATAAAACCTTATTAAACCGGTACAAATATCGCTAGTAGAATGGCCACGGTGCCAACGCGATTTGTTGCGGGTACCCGCTAAAGTACCGAGTCCTAGTTCATATGGCGCGTACTGATTGAGATCCTATTGTCTCTTCCGACGGCACGGCACCAGACACGTTTGTTGGGGTTGAGCTCATGTTTTTTAGTGGGATTTCGACACGTACTAGTAGTAAATAAAGGGAATATTTACCCGATTTTGTTGCGCAGATGGGCTCCTCTCTTTTCTCTCTCTCTCTCTCTTGGCTTACTATCTATCGTACACGGTCTAGGTTTTTGCGCAATACAGAAGGAATCATTTTTTCGTTAGCGCGCTTCAGTAATTTTTACTCTTTTTTTCCCGTATTTGTTGTGCTTTTATCGTGCGTGATTTTTCAACAAATTCATAACTAGTTTTGTTTATTTGAGATTTTCTTCGGTTTTTGGCCCATTCGATAAGTCAGTTAAAATTTCTGTAATTGGAGTTTTTAATATTGAGAAAAATAAATTACAAGTAATAAAATATCAACATAGTGACGTCTAAACGTTGCGTTGCCTGAGAGTCACAAGTCGCGTTCGAGCGGTTCGAGCCGTATGTGTGCTCGGAAAAGCTCGAACGCTCAAGTTGTCTTGGTTACCGAATATTCGTTAAAACAACGTGCAATAATTTTTTATCGGAAGTACATACGTTAAAGGAGTGCTATAAATAGTTCAATTGTGAACAGCAGAGGGTGTGTGCTGATTATAGCGTTGAAAATCGAAAAAAGTTTTTTCAAAACTTTGAGAATTTTTTCTCGAAAACTATAAGTTGGACGAAAAAACTACTGAGAACTTTTTAGTTCAATTTGAGTTGGAAAATCCGAAAATACTTTTTTTTAATAAAATTTTCAGTACAATTGTTAAAAAATTGTTAATAACAATAAAATCGACAGACTGACGACAACCCACCTAAAAAAATTCAGATTCAGTAGATGAAAATACATGAGAATAATCTTGGTGGGTCCATCCTAATTAAAAGACCATAACCGGTTTTTAAACTAATAGCGAAAAGCTCTGTTAGATTTTTCTAACATTTGAGCAGCTTTGAGTTTTTTTTTCTGAGCTTTTACTGAACAAAAATTCGTCAAATGACGTAAAAGTGGGAATTTCTTTGAAAGAATGTTTGAGATTCATAATAATTAAATATTTTCTTCTTAATGATTCATCTTTTAGTAAATAAAGAAGAATTCGGTAAGCATCATTAATAATATCGAGTAATTGCATGTTGTCGGTAAGCTCTTTTTTGCACAACGCTGTTACGACAGAACTTAATATGCAAACACAAAGAAATCTTGGTCTGTTTTACGATAAGCTAATTATCACGATCAATGACCGGAGTTTACCGCAAGTTTTTTAACATGTCGTTGATTAGTGGACTTTTGATAAAATGTAATTTTCAGGACAGCAATATTTTTTACATAGATCATTTTTTCCCGAATGTAGAACATTCGCCAACGTCTTTTTAACAAACGATAATAATTTTCGTTGATGGATGATGCGAACACTCTTTCAGGAACAATGCGTTTACTAATAGCTTGCAGAAAATGTTCCTCCAGCTCAGGTCCTTTGGTAGCAGAATCAATTACTTGCGATGCTTCAACAAAAACAGCATTCACAGATAAATTGGATTAGATGACTTGTGGAAGGATGAGTAGTAGAAGGTAATTGGGGAGCCCATTGTATTTCGAATGCTGACCGAGGCCTGAGTAATACATGCATTTTGCGAATTCGCTTCAACTACCACTCAAGATGACACCAACAAAATACGTTGACAACTGCATTGGCAAAATGCTTTCTTGAATTGCAAAAATAATATGCATATGCGAGCTGATGCATATGACAATTTCCAATAGATAGTATAAAAGATAATAAAATGCTATATACCAACGTCATACAAATAAATATTTTGCTATTGTAATTTTTTCTGCAACGCGTACAACTACGCAGTTACACAGTCAGTACCATATAAATCTAATAATTTCATGAACAAAGTTTCATCTGTGTATCTGAAAAATTAGGAAAATGCAAGGTGCTAACGTGATAGGAAAAAATAAAAAATTATTTCATTATTCTACCATTTGAAGAGAAACTGTAAAATTTATTCTACAATATGTGTATAACTACGCAGTTGCATAGCTAGTACCATACCATATTCATAGCCTTTCTGAAAATAGTATAACAAATTTCAATAAAAAATTATAATTAGACACAATTCATCGAGATGTACGAGCATGAAGAAAAAAAATTAACAAAAAACATGAAAGCTAAAAAAGTTTCAACATAAAAACGTGAAAAATGCAAAATTGCCGTTTCAAGGCTTACTCTTTAAGGAAGAAAAATAGGTAACCCAAGCTGCTAAAATGCTGTTCTGGACACATTACGAATTTGCTTCCATCGCTAGCCTTGAAAATACATAATAAAAGTGCTAATCCACTAAACAGTCTTTTAAGATACGCAAGCACAACTTCCTTTCCTTTCTCCTCATGGTAGTGGAGACCATAATTCGCAACTTTGGAAGTTGCGAGGATGAGGCAGCGAAAATCTAGAAGCCCTGCAGGGTATCTACGGGGACTTTTAGCAGTTCAAGACGAACGTTCACGAGAGTAAGTTACATTTTCTTTTGTGTCCTTTTCCTCTTGTTAAATACCAACATATATCTAAGTATTATTCATTAATTTTATTTCCCTTTACCACCTTTTTTCCCGCACGGTACAATTTTCTATATTAAATAAAGTTTCGTCGATTACAAGGATTCTTAATAATTACCATTCCATGAACAAAATACTAGATATAAGAAGATGATAAATGATAATAATCAATTTTCAAATTGCACGACGCTCCCATTCAAATATGATAAAGCGGATCGAGGAAGAGTAGCAGAGAATGACGACAGCCCGTATTTAAGCTACATGACATACTTCATTAAAGAATACAGAATATTTGTGATCTCAGTAGGTTACGAAACACGTGTCTCGACGAGCGCACAAAAAGGAACGTGCTCGGAGGCAAAAAAACTGAACCGCGGCCAACAGCGTCCGGAAGTTGAATGAGTGCTTTTGCTCAGCTCTCTATGCCGCAGAAATAAGCGTACTGAGCGCAGCGCCGGAAATCGAAGAGGTAAGTGACACTGGGCGTATGTTAATTCGTATCGCGCAAAATTCAAAATTGCAATTAATTTGATTAACACTGACACCGAAAAAGATTAATTCGAGGTTTTTTTCTCGCTAGATACGTAGTTCGCGTTTGTGACTGATATGGCTGCGTTTCTTTTCAGTTGGCAGTAAAATCGAATTTTACTAGCTTTGATTAAAGGTGCAGTGAATAATACAATGGGTATAATGGTCGGGCATTTATTCGCATAGCGCGAAATTCAAAATCAAAATTAATTTTCGTTTGTCAAGCATCACTGACACCGATAAAGGTTAATTCGAGGTTTCTTTTTCGCGAGATACGTAGATCGCGCTTGAGACTAATATGACTGCATTTGGTTGGAATTGACAGTAAAAATGAATTTTAGTGAATTTGATTAATAGTGACTTGAATAAAAAAGTCGATCATGGAATATATTTAATAGATAATCATTAAAAACCAAAATATCACGATGCTTACAACTCTCAGATAAATTGACAGCCAAACTATAACTAATATATTTTAGATTACATTATAATATAGGGCGCTTGCTTTGCGTGATAAATTTTTTTTATTTTGAGAAAACCTTAATTGTTAAGTGCTGAGAAAAATTATATAGCAAAAGTTAACAATGTGCACGTCATCTCAAATTTTCCAAGCTTGACACTATCGTTTGGATTACACCTTCGTTTTGAACAAAAACATTCTTGTTGATAATTCTTTATAAAAAAGCAATAATAACGTAGACAAAGGAAGACTCTGAGGGCTTGTAGAGTGAGCGAGACAATTGTCACGATGATTCTCATGCTGATTTTATTGAAATGATTCAGCAAAAAACAACAACTCAATCGATTAAACAAAGAACTCAGTATTTATTGATCAAAGAATAAAAAGTTACATATAGTTTGAATACAAAAATAGTGAAGCTGCTCGAGAGTAAAAGCTGTTACTCCTTCGAGCGCTAGGGCTGAACTAACTGCATTCGCAGATGCGACTAGACACATCCTTTCGCATGGGAAAAAGCGCCAAAAACATTTATTACTTCATCTGGAGACATCGGTCATTGGCGCGGCGTTGTGTCGCAGGCGAGCAGCGAACAAAAAGTTTTATGGCCCGGCCTGGGCTCTCTTTTAAGCAAACAGTCCGAAGGATAGATCTCAAAAATACTAATTTCGCATTGTGCTCGCTTATAAATTTTCCAACAGATTTGACTAATTTTTATTTAATTATTGTCAATTAAACCTTCCTAAAAAAGTACTACAGCTAAATACCATTATTTTTCTAGCAATAAACTAGAAAGTTTCATAACTTGATGATACTATGAATGAGCTTCCAGCAGGAAAACAAGAAGTGCAAAATATTTCAATCTAATTCAATTTATTTTACTTAACTAATTCAAGATTTGGACTGGATTCCGTTAATTTTGCCGCGTGTCAAATTTCATTTCGGCTTATAAGGAAACCACCTCAACTCGATCTCACCGATTTCATTATTCTTTTGTAAATTATAGAAAAATAAATAACACGTATTTGTTTTCTATCTGCGGAAAAGTACTTTAAGGGGGTAAAATCCGCCCCCAAAGTCAAATGAATTTTTCAATTTATCTCAAGTTCTAATTGATATTTTACAAAGAAGTAAATTTCATTTCACTTCTCATGTAAATGCATAACTAGTGCCAGTAGTTCCGTCCACAAGGGATGCAACTCTTATTTTTTTTATTGATAATTCTATCATTATACGCAATATATATCATAGTAAATTATCATTTAGAATCTGTAGAATATTGAAAAACGTTTTTTCATTTGAAGGGTGTTTCGAAAAAGTCTCGAACGGATCAATTTTATTATTGTAACCAACCCACGATAATATTTTTTTAGGTTTTTTTGGCTCTTTTAAGATTTTTTTCCTGAATATAGACACAAAAATAGTAAAATTCTTAATGAAAAAATAAGGGTTGCAACTCTTATAATCGGAATTGCATGCATTAATTCTGAATTTACATGAAAAGTGAAATGAAATTAGCTTTATTATAAAATATCAATCTAACTTGAGATAAATTGCAAAGTTCATTTTTGAGGGTGGACTTTGAGGGCGGATTTTACCCCTCAACATATTTTTCTGCAGGTAAAAATACGTGTTACTTATTTTTCCATTATTTATAAGATATTAAAAGAATATTGAAAACGGTGAGGTCGGATTGGTGAGTTGGACATGAAATGAAATTTGACACGCGGCAAAGAGGACAGAAGAAATTACGTGATAAATTGTTATCATATTTATTTTTATGTTAATTATTAGATTGAATCAGCGTTCGCATTCTTTTGATAATTTAGCTTTATTCAAACGGTACACTAGATTTAGATAAATAAATATACCTACATTGGTCGATAATTTTCGGATGCTTCTTCACAAACTGTTAACTTGGTATCATTGATTTTCTATTATCAAAAACTCTCAGAACACGATAACAATGTTATACGTGCATACATTGTTTCTGTCGTTGCAAGAATCGTTCTACTCCCGATACAATGCGAATCTCTTACGATGTGCGTAGGGAGAAAGGGAGTCGCCGATCGAATGCTATGAGAATCTAGTGGATAATCCACCTTAACTATAAAAAATTTAAATAATTAGCAAATCATCAACATTGATTGTTTTGAATAAGCAAATATAATATAAGTAAAAAAATTAGAAAGTTTTATTCCGTAACAACATTTGTGATTCAATTATATATTGATTAACTATGGAAATGGAAGCATTAAGATTTCAACCGACGAAACAAAATTTGAGTAAAATATCAGCGTTCATCAACATAGGGCACAATAATGAATGAATCATGGAATATTTTGATTGAGAGTTAAAGCAAACGGAGGCGTTTAAGTTTATGATCGACAAAAACACAATCACTAGACGTGGAAAATCCGAGTTGACGATTTAGAGCAAATCGCTGATTTGCTGGTTAATGATCCATTTTAATCAATGAAAATACTACCAGAGTGATTACAATAAAATATCCACGAGAAAACGTTGCGTATTTCTTTAAAAAAGATCAAATATTAAATTTTACCAAGCACTTAAATGTAATTTTAAAAAGCTTGCATTAAATGAAAGAAACAGAAAAACAAAGTTGATATATGCCAATACTCTTTTAAATCGAATAGTGGAAGAGTAGAAGCGAACTATTTTTATGGACGAAAAAATATTCTCCACGTAAACATATGATACCTATCAAAATAAATTTTTTTTCATTCAACTACATTTATTTATAATTGTAATTTGTACATTATAAGCCACATCCTTTTAATTTCGCATATATGCAGGATAGGTGTTTGGCGATCAGCAACTACTCGGTAAGAAGATGCATACGTTGTTGCTTTAAGGTACAATGGTCATGGTATACGTGCGTTTTGGGGCTCGGTTTCTGGCTAACATCCAGGTGACTTAGTTGAAATCATAAAGCGATTAAACGCTGAGCAGTATATGCAGATACTTAATGACTTCTTTTTGCCAAACGTGATCTAACGATTGCCAAACGACAAGCATATTTTTGTTGTTGAAGACATCAGCGTTATTATTGCTTTTTTATAAAAATTATCAACAAGAATGCCCAAAGCCAAAATGTCATCTAAATGATAGAGTCAAGCTTGGAAAATTTGAGATGATAAGTACGCATTGTTAACTTCTTCTATATAATTTTTCTCAGCACTTAACAATTAAGGTTTTCTCAAAATAAAAAAAATATATCACGCAAAGCAAGCGCCCTATATTATAATGTAATCTAAAATATATTAGTTATAGTTTGGCTGTCAATTTATCTGAGAGTTGTAAGCATCGTGATATTTTGGTTTTTAATGATTATCTATTAAATATATTCCATGATCGACTTTTTTATTCAAGTCACTATTAATTAAATTCACTAAAATTCATTTTTACTGTCAATTCCAACCAAATGCAGTCATATCAGTCTCAAGCGCGATCTACGTATCTCGCGAGAAAGAAAGCTCGAATTAACCTTTATCGGTGTCAGTGATGCTTGACAAACGAAAATTAATTTTGATTTTGAATTTCGCGCTATGCGAATAAATGCCCGACCATTATACCCATTGTATGCTGTCTCGAGCTTCATTGATGAGTTCCTGTTGCAGTAACTTTCTTGTTCGCGCCGTTTGCGCTCCACATGTTTGCCGGTGAGAAAGAGAGAACTGTGTGCCAGTAGAACAATAAATAATGAACGGTTTTCGCTGCGTCTATATGTCTGAAAATACACGTGTCGTTCGACTATTGTTGCGCATATGCGCGCGTATGCCGTTGAAGATGCTATTCCTAGGGAAAACCTAATAGTGAGCACGTGCGTGCTCATAGCATTACCAGATAAAGAAGGCACGCGTTCCACAATCGCAGATAACAGACCAGAGCCGCGGGACCGTCTTCGTCCTCACTAAAAGGGAGGCTCTGATTGGTCATTCACAAGGGCCTCAGAAGTAGGAATGGTTTTTACCGCGTATCTTCACATAGGGAAAAAGAGGCGACGACAGTTCTGTTCCTACCGGAAAAGTGACAACTACGGTTCTCTCTCACTTGATTCAGTTCTTTAATCAATGTACCGTGTGTTGCGTAGTCCCGCTAACCGAACTTCGCTGTACGCGTATGCGTGGTAGAGTGCGCGGAGTACCGCTGATACGACGGGTACTGTGCACCAAGAGCTGCAACTATGTATACGCAAGCCTGCTGATTTTGCGAACATACGTAAAGGTGTGAACAACACCAATGACGCACTTTGCAACGGGGCTGACGACTACGCGTCAGTAGAGGACGTCTTGACTCTTCTGGGGTGCTGCTACTCTGTCTGTGCCTATCATTCCCGCATCCCGGGTGTATCGCAGTTGTAATATGTGTGTGTGCCCGAGACGTCGGGACTGCGATGCACCGACGAGAAAGAGGCAGCATCTTCCCTTACGATATTTAATACGATATCCTTGTGTGGCATT